GGTGATAAACAGAAATTTTCTCCCTTTGATCAGATTTTAAAAATGCTTATTATATCCTAAATGATAACCCTCGACTTTGTATTTTTTAAAATATAATGTTACTTTTTTTCTTTTCTAATCTACGTTGTTACTCACTGTATAATAAATCATACTTTATTTTTCAGAGTAAACATCTATTGTTGTTTTTACAAATTTTTTTTAAGCAACACCATTTTGTGTTATTTAGTATGAAATATACGTGCAACGCACATGTTCAAAAATTAGAGGAGTAAAAAATATATTAGTCATGTAAAATTGTGATCTGGCTTTTTAAACACATTAGATAATACATATTGCTTTAACAAAGTTTTAACTTGTGTGTTAGTGCAATGAACTCAATATCAAAATTGAAACTAAAGAAAACAAATCGTATAGTTATTGATTAACTATGTTGTTTCTTATTTTTCGTTATCACATGATCCACTATTCAGTATTACTTCATTACTAATACGACGTTTCATAAACTGCACTACTCTTCTTTTAATATAACGTATATGCATTTTCTTACTCTTTTTAATAATATATAGATTACTGATATGAACAACTTTATTTATATATTAAAATAATATTTTGTTATTCGAAGTTCTTTTATTATTTAAAGTATTAACTACAAATATTTGATTGTGAAGAAGTAATTAACAAAGGAGAAATAGAACTTACCTGTTAAATTTGCAATTTTAATGCTTTCCTCTGTTTTTCTTCCCTTTGTTTTGCATATGTGACTTTGAATCCAGTTTGTAAGATAAAATGAAGTTGGAAGAAGTTTTCTAATGATAATGGATATACATATTACTTATTTAAAAGTTCATTCACATAAGCTGCTGATAACTTTCTTAACAAATAATGAAGAGAGCAATGATTGGCAAAGCAAACCAAAAGTTAGCTAAGAGGTGAGAAGACTTATGTTGAGATCAAACATTCTTGTAAAAATAGCACGGACTAGCCAGTTTTTAGATTGGTAATTCAAAAATAGCCAGCGTTTGCAAAGTCATTGAAAAATAGCCACTATTTTGCTGCAACACGGAAAGTTCCAGCATAATATACTGGAGATTGGTGCACATGTGTATGAACTTCCGCATATTATGCTGGAACTCCAGCACACGAAAAATTCCAGCATAATATACTGGAGATTGTAGCACATGTGTATGAACTTCCAGCATATTATATTGGACCAGTATATTATGTTGGAACTCCAGTATATTATGATGGAGTTCCAATATATTTATACTGGAACTCCATCATAATATACTGGAGTTCCAGCATAATATACTAGAACTCCAGTATATTATGTTGGAGGTTCACATGTAAAAAATTCGAACTCCAGTATATTATGCTGGAATATTTTCTGAATTTTGAACAGTGTTTTCGTTCAGATTTATCTTTACATGAAAATTGGTTAAATTTCGATTACTTTTGAAACTATGGCTATTTTTCAATTATCACTTGTAAAGCTGTCTATTTTTGAATTTCACCCAACATTCTTTGCAATTAATCACGTTCAAAGTAGCAATTTTATCAGTTAATACGATTAAATAATAACGCGCATTGTAGCTAAAATTAATACTTTAGAGACCGCTTTAATAAAGAACAAGAAGCGTTTTATTATTGTAAATAAATAAAATTTTAGTAGAGGTTTATAGGCTTAATTATTTATGTCATATGGCCTTCCGTTGCTGTTAAAATATTGTTTAGAAATAATAGTATTAATCGTTGTTAATAACAATATTTATTAGTAATTGTATTTATAGACGTTAAATGTATATGTAACATAAGTTTTCTCATACTCTCCTCAGGTTCAAATGTTTGCCATAACTAAAATACAAAATTTTGTTTTCAGATCACAAAACATCACTTTACATATCCAAATCCCAAATTCTTTTCAGTTATTAGCGACATAATCAGAATGTCCTTATTTCCTTTTAAAGTTGGACTTTGTCAGTTATTAGAGTATCTAGAAGTGTACGGGAGAAGCATAAATACTATTGCCCTCCAAAGGCCTAAGTTTGGTGGTTTTAGGCAAATCTATAAAAGCAAGAAGAAATGTCAGTATGATGTGAGTCAAGAGCACGATAATAGCTATTCGAAGGAGAACTTTACGATGAGAACGGGCCTTCCATCAACCCTTCAAAACCTTGTGCCATGAGCGCTCTAAGTATGACATCTGTTTGCAGATGCCTTCGATCCACTCCTTGAGGCGGGAAACCGCATTTGGAATCCGGACAATAGCTACACAACCACAAATACGAATGATGAGAAGGAGAATGAAGAAAAATTGACACATCAAGAAAGGATGCACTTACGAGATGCATTTCACTTCTCGGGGAATGGCATGAACTCGGGAGGAATTAAGTCTTCAGTCTTCACCCGTAACAAAGAGCCCCTACCAGCCTCGGTCTCGGTCTTCGTCAATACTCAAAAAGGGGGCCTTGCTGGCCCGGCGAGTGAGCTTGATTAATCCCCTCGAAAAATTCGGGGATTGTATAGACAGAGCAGGTGGTCGATGGTGAACCGACGAGACTCGGTGTTGTTCACAAAATAACATAGGAGGATCACGATCCTCCATGAAGACAAGTGGATTTACCCAAGGCACACCTCGTATCTCTAACAAAAATCCAAAACAACTGGGTTTACCGGACTCAGTATGAAAGGGTAAGTGTAAACACTTAAATACCCATCCACGTGGGTAGTAATACCATCCTCAGGCCCGGGGACTACTACGTCATTGCCTTCCCATTTACAGTCATCTCGGACCACGGGAAGGACATCTTCGGTAACAGAGCATATATACCTCGATGCTCCTTCACCCCGGTCCTCTTTGGATGAGGGTTTCTCGACTTTGAAGTCGTCCACAATTGAGCAACCCCCAGGTATAAAGCTTTTGATGGGAGGCTCGGGGACAGATGCCCCGGAGGCAGCCACCTCGAGAGCAGCCACTTCGGGAACAACCGTCTCGGAAGCAGCCACCTCAGTATTTGTGGCCGGGTGGGAAGATGAAGAGGCAGCCTGTTGAGGAATTGATTTAGATGTTTTAGCCATTGCTATATGGAAAAAGTTTGAAAATTTAAAGAAAAAATACGAAGGTTTGAAGGAACAAGTTTGAAGGCTGAAGAGCAGAGTATGAAGATTTGAAGAAAATTTGGGTAAGAACCTAAGAACAACTATGAGAATTTGAAGATCAAGGATGAAGATATGAATATTTGAAAGAAGTTGGTGATAGCTAGAAAATTCGAATGTGGAAGCTTGATCGGAAAGTGGAAAAAGAACAGAGGATAGAAACTTTTATAGGGGAAGTACGCGACGCTACGCATTCGAAGACAACCAGCCAGTGGTTGACACGTTTTCGAAGTCAGAACAACACGACTGATGGGACGTTTCGACTTCTTCGTCATTTCGGTCGTGACGTATGAAGGAAGGAACCAGTGTTCATCTATCGTTTCTCATCGTTTTGGCAAACCTACTCTCTGAAAAATGAGAGGACTATCTGTATACGGGTAAAACCGGGGCTAGTGACCACCCTGATTTCACGATGGGGCAAACGAAGTAAGGACATAACTACATGGATTCGGGATCAAAGCCAGGAACCTCTCATACTAAGGCCCGAACGAAGCGCTTACCACTAGGGCCATCGAGACAACCTCCCCAATCCGGTTCGGGTTCCAAGACCTCGGAAGGCATAACCAAATGGTTGTACACGACTAACGAAGGGCCATGATATCCGCGCCCAACCGGATATCAAAGCGTGGATCTCGGCCCGTATCGACAGCGGATCAGTGATTAACGAAAAAGAAGATTTTTACCTTTTTTAGAATTGTACTTAGGGTAAAAGTCTCCTATTATATAAATGAGAAGTTTATTGTTCAATAGACACACTGTAACACGCGTATCAAGGCAATATACATTTATTTTCTTTGCTTCTAAAGTTATTCAAAGTTCTTATTTTTGCTCATAGTTCTTCATAAGTATTTGGCTCCGAACCGAGGGTAGAACAATCACTAAGCTCAGATCCGAGTTCGGACCTAACATCATAACTGGTTTGGTTATTTATTCTATCTTTAACTCACTTATTTAACGTTATTGATCACTTGTATTAAATTAGTCAACATATCCTTAAAACCGCGTATAAATTCAATTGTTATCCATTTTTAAGGGTAAACAATAGGTATGTTCAATATTTAATGGCACAGAATCTCTTTAAATTCCATAATTATGTAATGGAGAAGCTCCTCAAATTCCTTAATAAAGTGATGGAATCTCTTCTATTTCCAAATTAATTGAAAGAATTCGTTAGTCATTCTTTCTAAAGGAAGAAAATTAACGGAAAAAGGAAAAGGGGAACAAAATGAAGGGCAAAATGGTCAATTAATATTTGAAGGATATTCTTCTAATTCTTGATTTGAATCTTCATACTTATAATATAGTACGATTGAGATTGTCACAAAAACTTCTATATGTGGCGCTAGTGCAATCCCTCAAATTTCTTCTGATGCGGTTATCTTTTACTTATCTATCATAGATAACAAGGGTGGAATAGGATGATTTTATTCTACCTACTTAAATTTGGAATCTACAAAGACTTTGCACACGTCCTCGAGGGCAACATTCATGGCAGTCATCACTACTTTCTTCCGAGGGCATAATATGACTTTGTTCTTGGTCTTGTTTAGTAGATGCCGAGTGCCCTTTTTCACGTCCGAGAATCTCCATCTGCTCTAAGTGGGCACGAGCTAATCCTATCTCAGTTGCACCATATGACAAAATAAAGTTTAAAAATACAATCCTATCCCATAGAACGGATCACATAAAAGTTTAATATCCAATGCCACTTCACCAGCCTAGCTGACTAACTAATGCTAAAAATATACAAATGGACAGTTGTACCATACTCAAAAGTTTGTATAATACTCTTTCTTGTTCATTCAAAATATGATAGACAGCTAAACTCTGCCCATAAAAAACCAAAAGAAGGAAAAATAGGAGGTGCTATGGATTTGAACTGTGTGTGCCAATTGGCTTACCCAAGAAGAGGACACCTGACCATAAAATTTCGGCCATAAATTAATCAGAAATCGCAACCTTTACATGACATTTCTTATGTGAGTAGCTGTAATTTACACAGCTTGTATGGCCAGCTAAAATATTGGCCATATGTTGTTATAAGCATGATCATATTTACTATTCTAAAGGTCATTAAAAAACTGCCCGCCGAGATGAGAATAGGCTCACTGCATTCTTTGCTGCGTTCACTTTGCTTACTAACACCTTCCATTTTGCCGCATCTTTCTTCGTCTGTTGCAGCATTTTCACCTTGAAGTGCCTAAAGCAATAAAATGACATTTGTTATGCTGTTATCTGTCCAAATATTGAAGTGAACGATACAAACGATAGAAAGTAGGGATCACCCTTTAACTGGTATTTTTGTTCTCAAACTGAGATCAATACTACTGCAAGAAATGTGCCTCCTTTTCTAATTTTGTGATGATCCCTAAAGGGTTCAAAAAGTTTACCAGAAATGTTCAACAGCTAAATATATGCATACCATGTACCTCATATTCCGTCATTTGTCAATATTAAACCAAATATGGTGCTGTGAATGAGTACTAACTTATAATCCTCCTCAAGAGACGGCCAATCTGAGTAGGGTTACACATTTAACGACGGATGTCTTTTCAACTTTCATCGCCCGACTTCATCTAGATGCTTTAGAGGTAGAGTTTTAGTTGTATAACAAGATGCTTCAAATAAACAATGAGATAGTCCTTAATGCAAAGAAACATTTGTTTGCGTGCTGAGTAACAACAGAACAACAGTTTCAAATGTCATTCTGCTTATAAGTCAAACTAAGGCATCGAACCTTAAAAAAACAGTTCTAGCAGTTTATCTCAACAGCTAACATGTTGTCATCTACTATTTCACAAACCTCTCTATATGCTTTATAATTCTTTCTTGAATAAAAATCCGTATAAGTGTTGTTCTGCTAACAGAATATCACCAGAAAAATTATTTTACTTACCTACAAAGAGGAACTTTGCAACAGTCAGGTTCATCACAAATGCGTGAATGAAGCTCAAGAAGCTGCCACATTCGCTTACAATGGACACATCCACCAGGAACTCTAATTTTGCAACTTGAGAAATGACGGACCAGAGTCTCCAGCCCCTTGCATGCTGGAAAACTACATGCCGCCTGGCTTGCTTTAAGCACCTTGTCACGAGGTCCAATTGTTCGACACCCGTCTCTGCAAATGTGAACCAGAGCTTCCATAGCTTCATGCAGTTGTAAATACACCTTTTTCTCTTCGATTTTCTTCAGTCTATCTTGTTTTCTCTGGAAAAAAAACAATAAGATTATCATACCAAAAGATATTCAATGTTTACTAGATTATTTCTCAAGCACTAATTGCTTAGCAATTGTATGCATGACGCAAATAAACTTTCTCATGCATACCACTTAAAAACCAGGCATATGAATTAAGAAACAGAATTTGTTTGCCCACCCAATCGAAAAAATAATGGTGGAACAAGAGGAAATGATCAAGATAAATAAAAAATGTGGTTCATGTTTATTACTATATGTATCTTCAACGCGAGTGTTTTCAGAATTAATGGCCATGTGGAATCTTTTGGCTATACCAAAATCTGGATAAGAAAAAGATTGAATCTATAAGTTGACGAACATATTGCCTCATTGTAGCTGTAAATTTCAATATAAAACTGGATGCACAAACAAGGGGTGCGACAATATCTTTCAGAGAAAGAGGTGCGACAAAAAGAGGACAGCTATTTTGGTTGGCTTGTGTAATACATTTAGAGATGGATAATTATTGTCATATCTAGTGAAGCAATGACAAGATCAATGGCATGCTTTATAGCAAGAGAAAGTTCTCATTGAAAAGATTAAACAAAGTCAAGCAGACATTGTTTTCCACATACTCTTTGGTCTTGATCCAATCAATCTACTCCAAATGACAAGGCATCTCAGTGGATCTGCGACAAGTCACTGGGTGTTCAAAGTATAAAGGAGAAAGCAATATTCTCTAGACAAAGAGCAGTGACCATCTTACCGAATCTGCTTCAACAACGAATTCTAAAAGCTCCTGTTCAAGTACGGGATTAGCTTGTCTCATTACTTTCCAACCCTCAGTGGATGATATGTTCTTGAAGTTCCTCACAATCATACGAATGCAAAAGAGGGTAAGCCGTGGTGCATCACAGTTTCTCGCTAACTGAAGCACATCTATCACGTTTTCTAAGTTCAACCAACCCTGTTCCAAATGGTTTATGCAAACTCTTTTAAGTGAAGGTACTGAGTAGGCATGTGATAAGACCAACAGATGCAAAACAAACTTCTTCATATCTCCTCCTTCGTAACTGCATGAGGTTAAAAAGGTGACATAAATTTCAATTAATGAATAGCTGCCAAGAGAAATTTGAGTGAAAACTTGAAACGAAAATTGCAAAGCCACAAAGGTAAAAGATTCCA